ACTCCTCTGTTGAATCAGCTCCACTGGCTGCCAGTCTGCTACCGGGCTCAATTCAAAGTTCTTGCTTTAGCCTATAAAGCCCTAAACGGTTCTGGCCCAGTCTATCTATCTGAATGCATATCTTCCTACGAACCCCCCAGGAACTTAAGATCATCTGGGGAGGCCCTGCTCTCAATCTTTGTTATTATTTCTACTATCCTGCTTCAGAGGCACATCTGGCCGGGACGAGAGACAGGGCCTTCTCTGTGATGGCCCTTCCGGCTGTGGAACTCCCTCCCTAGGAATATTAGATCAGCCCCCTCCCTCCTGACTTTCTGAAAAAGAGTAAAAACTTGGCTCTTCGAGCAAGCATTCGGAACCCCGGAGTAAACAGACAAACTAGAGTTGGAAATTGACCCAGGAACAGCCAAAACAATGTAATGGATGAAGATTTGAATGAGAGAACATAGTTTCTTTTTAAATTGTTTATTATGCACTGTTGTTTATGTTTAATTGCACTTGATGTTTTTGCTTTATCAATGTATGTATTTTGTTTCAACATCTAATTGTGCCGACTGTGTATACTGATCTGAGTCACAGGGAGGAGCATGGGAAGCCAACGGGGTTAGACGTGTTGCTCTACTTCTCCGCCGAAATAGCTATATTTATCCCAGAAAAGGAATTAAGAGTTGGCTGGAAATCGTTTGTCTATCTTTAAAAAAGCTCAGTGCAAAGGACTGAGAAAATATCTACCCTGCACTTGGAGCGAGATAATCAGCCGACCAGCTCTGACTCTCTGACTCCCTGAGATCAAGGACTGACAGTAACGAAGCAAGGATTGAGCAATTAGAAAAAGAGATATTATCTTTGCGAGCTGAATTGGTAGATTCTCAGAACCGCCTTCGAAGGAGAAATATCCTTTCTATGGGAGTACCAGAGCCGATCAAGGATTTATGTGACCAAATAATCTCAAGGCTTTACTATTGGTGGGTGGTAGTTGGGTTAAATGCTACAGTATTTTTGTTTTTGTTATTATTTCTACTATCCTACTTTCCAAACCTCCTGTTAGAACTTAATGTATTAAGTCGGGTTACAATGTATTAGAATATTATTGTTCCTATCCTTATAGAGAATATTAGTGATTGATCATTGGTGAGTTATGGTTATTCTTATCCTCTCTCTAAGCCAGGAGAAAGAGAAAGAGATAGTCTTAAGTGATGGGGGAGGTTTAATATTGTGAAGACAGTGCCCTTGAGTTTAAGATAAGAACTTTGTAACGTTGTTCTACAGAAGAAAGCGGAGAGGGAGGGCTAAGTTGACCCCGGCCCTGATTATGCCGTCTGGAAATAGCAAGAAAAAAACTTTTCTTTGCCATTCCTCCCTTGGATAGTGGGGAGGGATTGAAATCCAGACAGAGGAGGGGGGAAGGGATGGGAGGGAAGCAAGGTTGGGGATGTGAGGGAACAGTGGTCCAAAAATATGATATAAGGGGAATGGAAAGCACAAAGATCTACAAAGTGAATTAGTTAAATGTAATGGCTCAATTAGATTCTATTCATTTGATAACAGTCAACATTAATGATCTTAAATCGGATGTTAAAAAAGACAGACTACATAAATTACTAACAGAAAATCAGGTAACGATGGTGTGTCTACAGGAGACTCATCATGTAGGGAGATCAAAATTGTTAAATTTAGCTAATTGGGATGCTCAATATGAATCTAAGGATACAAGCAACTCTCTGGGAGTTGCCATTATAAAAAAAAATGATCTTGCTTTTGTAACAGAGAAAATTATTACAGATGAGGAGGGGAGGTTCATAATGGTATGTGGAAAATTAAATGATTGCAGACTTTCTATTATCAGTGTCTATGGGCCCAATCAGGGGCAAAAAAGATTTATTAATAACATCTTTTAAAAAAAATAGAACGAGAGGCAGAGGGAGATATAATTATAGGTGGAGATCTGAATTTAGATCTCTATAAGGATAGGAACAATAAGAAGACTGGGAAAATTGGGGGAGAAAGTAAAATTAACCTTAAAAATGGAATCTTCTTGATGTTAATGAAAGACTAGGACAAAGAGTTGACACCCCCACATACTACTCTGCTAGACATAATTCATTTTCCACTCTAGATTATTTTCTTATTGGTAATAATAATGTGTTACCCATTGTGGAGACATCAGTTGGAAATAGGTGGCCAGGAGACCATGCCCCTCTATTTCTTAGAGTGGGTAGCATAAGTAGGAGAAAGGAGTATAAATGGAGATTTAATCCATTAGTAACAGCTAAAGAACAGGTCAAACAAGAGCTAAAAGAGGAAATCAAGCAATTCTTTAAAATTAATAGATCCCCTGATTTAAAAGAAAATATAATTTGGGATGCCTTTAAAGCTGTTATTAGAGGGAAATGTATCACAATGGAAATCGGTATAAAAAATTAAAACAAAGAAAAAAGGAGGTAAAACAGGAAGGAGATAAACTATTTCAAAATTTTCAAAAAAAACCCAACAAATCAAAATAAAGAAAGATAGAAAGAGAATTGGAAGATAATAGAAGAGTTAGAGAAAATTAAATTAACAAAAAAATCTGTTTGTAAAAAATGATTTCCAAATTAACTCCATAAATAATACTAGGAGATTAGCTAGCTACCCTAAATCAAGGAAAGGAAGGAATAAGGTATTAAAATTAAAAGATGCAAAAGGACAAATGAAAACCAAAGAGGAGGATTTGAGAGAAATAATGGCTAGTTATTATGAAAATTTATATTCAGATAAAGAAATTGAGAAAGCTGAGGGAATTATCACGAGAAAATTAGACCTCCAATCAAAACTGAATAGACCTATCACCAGTAAGGAAATTGAAGAGGTCATTAATAATCTTAAATCAAACTCCTCTCCTGGACCTGATGGCTTTACGTCTAATTTTTATAAAATATTTAATTTAGAAATCACCCCTTAATTAGAAATTTTATTCAATGAAATATTAAAAAATAAAATCATCCCAGAAACATGGAAGAAATCTGAAATAATTACAATTTTAAAACCTAACAAAGATGAAACCAACCCAAACTCATATAGACCAATTACTCTGTGTAATGTAGATTATAAAAGTTTTACAAAAATTCTTGCAAATAGATTGGCTGATATAATTCCCAATTTAACAGGTGAAGACCAATATGGGTTTATCAAAAATAGAAGATTAGCTGATCCTATAAGAAATATCCTAAATATAATTAATCATGCTACTAGGGAAAAATTGGATGTGTATAAAGCATTCGATACAGTCAACCATCAATATTTGCACAAAGTTTGTGAAGACTTTAATTTGGGAAGACAATTCTGTGAAATAATAAAGGAACTTTACTAAGATAACCAAACACAAATATTGATTAATGGAACCAAAACAAGAATTATTAAGATCAATAGTGGAACAAAGCAAGGACGCCCTCTTTCTCCCATCCTATTTGTGCTGACAATAGAACCTTTGGCAAATCTAATTAGAAACAATGTTAATATTGAAGGCATAAAAATCAGGACAGGAGTAATGAAAATTAACCTATTTGCAGAGGACGCCATGGTGTCATTAGGGTCACTAGAGGATTCTATAAAGGTAGTTATAAATACTATAAAGAAATTTGAGAAATTATCAGGGTTGGCCATTAATATACAAAAATCGGAAATATTACACAAAAACTTGACTCCTAAAGAGTTAAAAGAAATCCAGAGTATTACAGAGATAAAACTAGGGGAGAAGAAGATAAAATATTTGGGTGTATACATTCCCAAAAAGCTAAACAGTATAACTCAATCTAACTATAATAACTTATGGAAAAAATAAACAAGCAGATGTGTAGTTGGAAAAAACAAAATTGGATATATCAAGCAAAATTTAAATGGTTAAAATGATGATTCTCCCAAAAAATTTATTCCTGTTTCAAGCACTCCCATTTAGTATCCCCATCAAAATTATTAAAAAATGGGATTCTTCAATTAAAACTTGGATAGAAGGAACAAATAAAAATCGTATTCCCAAATCAGTATTTTATTCCTTAGAAGAGAATGGAGGATGGGGTGCCCCTAATTTACAGAATTATTTTGATGCCTGCCAATTAACAAGACTGATAGAATTAGATTTTGATGATTCAAGAAGATGGGCTAGAATTGAAAAGGCAATTAATGGATGGAACCACTGTTTATGTTTAAAAGGACAGGCTGACAAAAAAAACCTTAACAGAAATTAAAGGTGGACCATTGATCTCATCTTTGGAATGTTGGGAAAAAATGGCAAAACAAACTACAAATTAAAAGGGTAGATATACTCTCAATAGGGTTTCTAGACAATAAAAAAGAACAGACATTGGGTAAAGTCATAACAAATTTGAAACAGAATGGAATGACCTCTTGAACTCAGATGGGACAATCAAGGATTGGGAGACAATAAAGGGTAAATGTGGTCAAGGTAATTGGCTTCTTTGGAATGGATTAAAACAAAGAGAAGAAAAAAGAAGGCCCTGAAACAGCCCTAGATCAAATTCTAAAATGGAAACTAGAAAAGGAGAAAGGGCTGATGGGGTTTATTTACAAGAAATTAATTGGAATGCAATATAATTTGAAACAAGTCTTGATAGAAATATGGAAAGAGGATTTAAATAATAAAGTTTTAGAAATAGAAAACTGGATTGACTCAATTAAAAGTCTTAAGCATATAAAGGTTAGAGAAACGCAAAGGAAATTATTGACTAGATGGTACAGAACCCCAATTAAAATAGCCCAGATGACAAAAAAACACCACAAAACTTTGTTGGCATGGATGTGGGAAAATTGGCTCTTATTCCCGCATGTGGTGGGAATGTGATAGAGTACAAGAATTCTATAACAAGGTAATGAATGAAATTGAAGAAATAATAGGATATAAACTGCTTTGAATAAAATAGAATTTTTTACACAGAAATTAGACAAAAAAGATAATAGCAAAGCCTGGGAGGAAATTATAAAATATATGATACTAGCTGTACCCGGCCACGCGTTGCTGTGGCGTAGTGTGTTGTTTTGGAAAATGTAGTAGTGAGAAAGTAGTGGTATTCATGAACTTTTATTTACTAATACTTGTGGATACACAATATTTTTGGTTTGTCCTGTTTTTGTGTTGATGTAGAGATTTTGTGGTTTGCCAACTCTAGAACAGGCAACATATAACTGTCCATGTGAGAAGCATTCGGTGTCTAGATCTATGCCACCGAATTGTAATGTTTGTCCTTGTGCTTTGTTGATTGTCATTGCAAACGCTAGACGAATAGGGAATTGGAGCCGGGTGAATTGAAATGGCATATCTGTAGGAATCATTGGAATGCGTGGGATTAGTACATCTTCTCCTTTGAAAGGTCCTGTTAGGATTGTTCCTTCGATGACATTGTGCATTAATTTTTTCACTGCTAGACGTGTGCCGTTACACAGTTTTGGTTGATCGATGTTTCTCAACATCATAATAGGGATGCCCACTTTTAAATGTAGTATGTGTGGTGGTAGCCCTGGGAGATCCAAAGAATTCAAGAATTCTGTGGGGTATTTTACAGCCTCGTCCGGTTCCACAACAGTGTCGATCGATTTGTATGTTATTGATTCACTGGGAATGGTGGACTGTATGATATGGTTGAGTGTGTAGACGTCTGTGTTTGTTGGTGCTAGAATAGCTCGTTGACTTATCCAGTCGTGGTTTTTGTAGTTGTTTTGTATGTTTGGGAATACATTTTCTATTAATTCTTGTTTTGATTCCACAGTAGTGCAGAAGTTTGGTGGGAATGTAATGTGGCCTGTGGTGTGATCTGGTGGTACGTGACCATTTCCTATGTCTAGCAATTGTTGGGAGAATATTTCTGCTGACGGGTCTTTCTGGAGTTGGACACGTATATTGGTTGTTAAATGTAATGTTTTTACATGTTGCCACAAAATGGAGTATTTAAGTGAAGCATTGATTTCATCAGCTGGTGTGGATCGTGGTATGACTGGTAATGTTTGTCTAAAATCTCCTGCCAAAAGTAAAATTGTACTTCCAAATGGCGTTTTGGTGCCACGTAAATCTTGTAGTGTTCTATCTAGAGCTTCAAGGGATTTCTTGTGTGCCATTGTGCATTCATCCCAAATGATAAGTTTGCATGTCTGTAGTACTCTTCCCATGCTGGATGTCTTGGAAATGTTGCACATTGGAGTGTCAATGTATTGTAAATTTAATGGTAATTTCAAAGCAGAATGCGCTGTTCTTCCGCCTGGTAGTAACGTCGCTGCTATTCCTGAGGAAGCCAGAGCTACGGCGATGTTGTTTTGAGATCTAATCGTTGCCAGAATCAGTGTAATGAGAAATGTTTTGCCAGTTCCTCCTGGTGCATCCAAAAAGAAGATGTCTCCTTTTCCTTTCTGAACAGTATCCATTATTTGATCGTAAATGTGTCTTTGTTCAGGCGTAAGCTTAGGTACATTAGATTGTACATAAGTATACTGTTCTGTTATGTTGTAATGGAGTTCTTGATGGAATTGTGCCTTGAATGTAGGAGTCGTCTGTCGATTCGGTGTYGGCATTCCCAGTAATTTCAGAGGTTTGTTTGCGACTTGTAAGCAGGAATCCTCAATCATGAGAAGCACTTCATTGTATATTTGTGTGGTGTGTTCCTGAGRGATGTCGGTGTGTCCCTTATTTGTTTGATGGAAAATATCTTCAGCCATGTATGATTTATATTTYTCCCATAAGTGTGATGGAGATGATGGCGAGCAGGCGGTCAAAATGATGACAAAGAGTGACCGAATTTGTTTGGGATGTGATGTGTTGCATGCTTCAGTGATGCAGTCTTCCCAGTGGTGGTCATTCTCCAACAAATTGAGAGCTTGACAGGCACTTCGAAATGTGTCATGTGTTATTCCGTGGACAGTTCGCAAGTTCTCGAAGGATGTTGGTCCTGGTATGTTTACCAATAGTATACGAAGAAAGAAGCATTCATCTTGTTTGGGATGGATGGTGTACAACCTTCCTATGGTGGTGTCTTTGAATATGCCTGGTTGTCCTTTCACTGGTTCTCCTCGTTTGCGTCTTTGAAAAGTTTTTTTGGTTGTATCCCATGTGTAGTATGTTGGGACTTGTGAGTAAAGGAGTGTTTKTGCAAATGGGTCTGTGTGACATAACGTGAAGAATGCTGTGAGAGTTGTTGGTGGTGGATTCTGAGCGATGTGTTGCATTGTCGATGGTGTGAAATATACCCGTTGTCCATTTTCCAGATGAATAGCCAGGTGAACTACAGGAGGACTCCGCTCATGTATTGGAAATGATAGAATGCGCCAGAGAGCTTCATTGCTGCTTATGTATCGTCCTGCCTGATATTGTGTGATTTCATCGATGTCTCTGTGCAGTTTGTTTTCAGTGGTTTGGATGCCGAATACTGCCATGTCACTGCCTTTATTTACATATTTACAAATGTACTTGATGGATTTCACAGAGTTGCAGTATTCGACATTTATGTGTGCTCTGTATGTTTTAGAAAGGAGAGGSGAGTATGGAACGACCCAGCGATTATCTACTTGAATGGGAGTCTTTCGTWTGTGTATGTTTGCTATCTGCCCGCCATCTTCTACTGATCTTCTTCTGTATAATGGGTATCCATCATTTCCTGTAACTGTGTGTGGCAGTAGTGTGCGAGGGTATCGTTTGGAGCAGTTCCCATCCTTCATACATGGCGATTTTGGATTTAGTGTGCCGCATGGTCCATGTATCATATGTTTTGTCACAATAGTATGTAAGTCGTTATCTAAATGAGGATCAGGTATTTCTGCACTGATAACATTATCTATGTCCTTGGAAGTGATCTTGTGGTGGAGCCAAAGAAGTATATGTGCATGTGGCAATCCTCTCTTTTGCCATTCAACGGAATACATCCAGCAGCGTACTTGCCCAAACACTTGATGTTTTACCATGAAGTTCATGAGGGATTTAAGTTTCTGTCGAAAAACCCGGGCCGTGATGTCATGCCTATCAACCGTTTTCTGATCTGGAAGTAGGAGGTGTTGTATACTTTGCCAAGCGGGATTACATGTAAATGTGATGAATAGGTCTGGACGTCCATAGTGACGTACATACTCGATGGCATCTTGTGCATATTCATGCATATGACGTGGGCTGCCTGTGTATGATGATGGGAGAATAGTTAATTTCCCAATGTTGGTTGTATTGACATCATTGACCACAGCATCTCGTAAATGTACGTATTCTTCTGAGCGTAGCTTGGATTGATTGAACCGGATGTATTGTAAACGTTCTGATTCGATTTTAGCGTACATATCAACGATATATTGGTGGAGAAGTTGACGACATAGTAAAATGTGGTTGTCTTCATTCTGTCTAATCATGATTCTGTAAGAGTAATAGTTCATAGCACTGCATTTGATTTGTGTGTCTTGTCTGGTGATGGGATTTTTCATCTTGATGTTAAAGTGATAACCATCRGCTCCATCCCAAAAGATGATGGGGTACTGTAGGGCATCATAGCATCGATGAGTTTCTGRTACTTTGGTTAATTGTTCATTTCTTCGGTGTAGAACAATATCTCTTGGTTGAAATTGATCTCCAACAATAACAATTGCGACTTCATCGATAGTGGGTGCATTGTATCTTCGTATATGCTCTCCGGCAGGTGTCTTGTCAGCGTGGATAATGATCTTGTGAGTGTCTGATGGCATCATGTCAAGTGCTGTCTTGAACAAAGAGACGAATGGGTTTTTTTCGTGAAGTAGGTGCTGTAGTTGTGATAGAATGGATCTTTTTATGGTTGGAGAAATAGAGCAGCGGGCATTGAGTTCGTCTTCTTCGTCACCGATAAAATACATTTGGAGGAATTTGTGAGGTTCATTTTTTGCGGGAAGGAGTGATCCGGCAGTATGATAGATCTGTCCTTTCACCTTGAATGTTGGCAGAAATGGAGCAGTTACAATGTCAGCCCTGAACGACGTCATCTGGAAGCATGAATTATATCGCCTGATATGTGATAGGAAATGTCTTGAATCGGGTGTTTCTCCGGTCAGTAAAGTTTTCAGTGGCTCCGGTGGTTCTCCTAGTGGTGGTAGTTGGACTTTTCCAGCAGCACAACACATTCCTTTTGTTTCTCCAGGGAATTTGAGTGCCTTGCAGTGTGGACACACTGTTGTTAGATTGCCTATTATTACTTCGTGTGCTACACTGTAGTCCTCTGATGGGTTGTATCGGAATGCTAGGCGATGGTATTTGGTGTATTGTTGTAGACGAAGTTGTTCTTCTTTGTTTTCCTTTCTTTGTTTGTTGTGTGTTCGTTGTTGATCAGTTGCCGTTGTTCGTCTGTGTTGTGCTTTCATACGTGCAGCTTGAAGTCTAGCTGCACGTTGTTCAGCATCTTCGATGGCACGCCTTTGTGCAAGTTGCTGTCTGTAGAGCTGTTGTGCTGTTGCTTTGTCTTCATTGGATTGTTTAGAAATGGCCAGTCGTTTTGATTTTGCATTGCGAGTACGGGGGCCTAAGTTGGTTTTGCTTCGAGGCATAATTTGGGAGGTTGTCCTGTGAAAGAAGAGAAAGGTATAGTAATGATGTACACATGTTTTGGAAGAGTTTTGGAAACTCAAAGTTGCTTGTGATGTGATTCTAATACTCCTGTTTATTGGGAGGGGGTTGGACGGGATGGTGCATGAGTTGAATAAAGTGTTTGTGACAATTGATCATTTTGACAGAACGGAAGAAATGGTGCTGGAGTTGTTGCTGGTGGATTGTGGACTATGTGTTGTATTCTCCCTCCCCCGTCTCTTCTCCACTCCATCCTTCTCTTTCTCTCCCTCCGTCTTTCTCACTGTCTCAGACACTCCCTCCTTCTCACTCTGTCTATCTCTCTCTCATGCGTTCCCCCTTTCTCTCCTCCCTCTCCCTCTGTTTCTCTACTTCCCTCCTTCTGTCTTTCGCGCGTTCCTCTTTCTCTCGTCTCTACCTGGCCTCACTTCCTACTTTCGTCTCTCTTCCTTCCTTCTCCTGTTCTCTTTCCGTCATTGTCCTCTGCGACGCGTTGCTGTGGCCGAATCTGTGTGTGTGTTTTTTGTGTGTGTATATATGTGTATATGTGTGTGTGTATGTGTTTATGCATAAATACACATGTGGTTATGCTGAAGCCCGCAGTGGGTGAAGCTGAGGAACTTGGTTGCGGAAAGGTTGGTGGTTTGAATGCAGGGAGCGCCATGAGCTCCTGGTGTTTGTCCCAGCTTATGGTAACCTAGGAATGTGGCAATCAGAGATTGTGAGTAGAGCAATAGGAACCTCTCTTGCGGGAAGGTAAGGTTGCTCCATGGTGGGCTCATGACTTTGGAGGTGTGTATGGATAGGGCCGGGTTTAGGGCTTAGAAATGGAGATGAGCACCAACACCCCCCCATTCCCCGAATTTGGAGACAACTGGACTTAATGGTTATGTGGATGCATTGTAGTGGATTTCTTGGGTTTGTAAGTCTTGCCTTTGGTGTTTTTCAGTGTTTTAATGAGTGATGGTTTCTCAATGACCTGATAGATGTAATGTCCTTTCCTTCCTTCCTTCCGTCCTTCCATTTCAGTCTTCCCTGTCTCCTTTCCCTCCTTCCTTTTTTGTTTCCTTCCTCCCTTTAGTTGTTCTGTCTTTCCTTCCTTCCTTCCTTCTCCTCCTCCTTCTCCTTCCTTCCCTCCTTCCTTCCCTCCTTCCTTCCTTCTCGTCCTCCCTCCCTCCCTCATTCCTTCCTTCGTTCTGTGTCTGCCTCCCCCTTCCCCTCCGTGATGTTGTGGCCGACTGTGGTGGTGCACCCACAACCGGTATGACAGCGGGGGAGACCCCTGTCTGGAAGGAACGGTAGTAGGGATGTCTCTCTCTCTTGGATCCCCCTGGCGAGGCAGTGTGGGGGTTGGAGGGTGGGCGGGCGGGGGGTGGGGCCTTGCAGTTGCCAAGGCGACGTTGTGGGCCTCCTTCACTGGGGCGTCCTGCTTGGCCGGCCCCTTTGTTGGCGGGGGCGTGTCTCTGCGGAGTGGCACGCCTCTCCCAGAACCCACCTGCAGGGCCGGTGACGTCAGGCGCAGCGACGACGGTAAGAGGGGGAGATTCCCGGGTGCTTCCTGGAGAGGAGGAGGCGGCAGAGGCGGAGCCGGGCCCCTCCTGGCCCGCCGTCGGCCTTTCCCTCGTTCCCTCTGTCCTTCCTTCCTTCCTTCCTTCCCTCCCTCCCTCCCTCTGTCTTTCTCTCCTTCCTTCTGTTTCCTTTAACTTTATTTCCTTTTCTCCTTCCTTCCCCCTTTGGCTCCTTCACTCCTTCTCTTTCCCTTCCTCTCATCATTCGCTTCAGGAGCCTGTGCAGTCAACTTTTTCAGCCTAAAGGTGACTCAAGACTTGAGAAATAGTTAAATAAAAAAAAAAAAAAAAAATCCCTTTCAACGGTAATGCCGCGGGGGAGGGGGGGTGAGGGGCGGCAAGTGCGCGCGTGGCGGGGAGTTTGCGCCGCGCGCGCGTGTGTGCCGCGGGGGGGGGCAGGGGCGGCGGGTGCGCGCGTGGCGGGGAGTTTCCGACGCGCGCGCGTGTGCCGCGGGGGGGGGGGGGGGGGGGGGCGGCGGGTGCGCGCGTGCCGGGGAGTTTGCGCCAGTGCGCATGTTCAGTTGTTTTGTGGTGTTGTTGTCGTTGCAGTTGTGTTTTTTTTATTTTGGAGTAGATTAGTTTGTAGCGAGTGGGTTGTCCTAGGGGCATGGCAATTTTGGTTCAGTTTCGTTGGGGGGTTGAGGAGTTATGCGACGCCGTACGACGCCCCCTACAGATTTATATTATAGATTAGCTGCCCAAGCAACTGTGGCATTGGGGTGGAAAGACTATAGAAAATGGGAGGTTAAAAATTGTATGAATATTTAGCAGAATACATGCTTCAGGAGTACATCCATGAAAAAAGAAGCAAATACACAACAAGCCGACTTAAAACTTGGATGCAGAAATGGGAAAGACTGATTGAAAAAGTGGAAGGAAAAGAAAGATATAAGGTGCTAAACCATTCTCTTTTTACAATTGTTCAATTAAATTAAGATCTGAATTAAGGTATATACTGTTCCCTGAAGGGGGGGTGGGTGGGGGGAGGAGGGGTGTAAAATCGTTAGACACAAGGGTAAGGTGAAGGGGAGACAGATAAGAGCATTAGGAAATTATAATGTGATATGTGATATGTGGTATGTGATATGTTTTCAGAATGTTATTTAGCAACTGAATTTCTAACAACGAGTGGGTGTGATGGTATTATATTTGTGTCAGAAAAATCCAAAATAAAATAAAAAAATAAAAAAAGAGTAAAAACTTGGGTCTTCGAGCAAGCATTCGGAACCCCGGAGTAAACAGACAAACTAGAGTTGGAAATTGACCCAGGAATGGCCAAGACAATGTAACGGATGAAGATTTGAATGAGAGGACATAGTTTCTTTTTAAATTGTTTATTATGCACTGTCGTTTATGTTTAATTGCACTTGATGTTTTTGCTTTATCAATGTATGTATTTTGCTTCGACATCGAATTGTGCCTTCGGGCTGAAATGGGCGGGATAGAAATAATGTAAATAAATGAAATAAATAAACTATCCATCATACAGGGACAGCAAAGGGACAGAATAATTGGATTTAATTGTTAATTACCCATTTCATTTAAGACCAGACGCAGGGCTTTTTCTATTTCTGCCCCTGCCTTGTGGAATTCCTTGCCGCCCTACATGAGAGCCATGCGTGACTTAGGGCCTTTTACTCTCGCACTTAAGACCTGGCTTTTTACTAGAGCATTCGATCTCTGTTGATTTTTAATTTTTGTAGGTATGTATTTTATCTTTTGTAATTTAGCTGTAAATCGCCTAGAGCATTCTCGGATGGAGGGCGATTAATAAGTTATTAAATGATGATGATGATGATGATGATGATATCAGGTAAATACATTATCATCTGAGATTCTACATCAAGGGGATGGAATACAACTTGTCTTTGATGGAAATACATAGCATCAACTCATTCCTTGTAAAAAAAATAATATTTGACTATATTTAATGATATGTGGTTCAACAGTAATGACGGGGATGATTATGATTCATGAATGTAAAATACCATTTTGTTTTACCTAAAGAATAAAAGGCTTGAATAACACATGAGAGGTCTGGTTGGTGTCACATTTTGATGGAGGAGGCCGTTGGCCTATGGTTACAAAACTGAAGTCCATTCCAAAGTTCATTATAAAGGTTTCATAAATGAATGAATAAATATTTGAGTGTGATTCACAGAATGTGGTTTTGTTGGCATTTTAAGGTACAGAACCAATGGAAGAAATTACAACTTCAGTGAGAGAAACGAACTATGATCAATGCAAAAGGATATTATAATTAGGAAGTTAGATATGAAACATAAATTCACCTTCTGCAATTAAAATTGACTTAGTGAGGAGATGGATTCACATGCACCTTGCCCCTATCCATACAATATCATTTCCCCTTCCTACTTGCCTTCCCTATGTCATAAAGGCAATTGATTGAAATATGTTATATACATCCTTTCTCCAGTGACTAAGGATCTAAACTGGAGAACTTCATATTGACATCTTAGCACTGTTAACTAGAATATATTGCTGTAGCATTCAGCCATATTTTACATTCCATCACTTAAAGGTACAGAAAACCTGTTTTGTCCCAGTGGCAGCAAACCTTAAATCAAATAAATCCACCATAGCAACACTGTGTTCCCTTGGAGCATGCTGTTTGAGCATGAAAAGAGAAGAATTTGGCTTTTTAAGTCTCTCAGGTGAGACTTGCTTTGTTTGTCCTTGAAGTTTTCTTGTTCCATAATGCGTAAAATGCCACAGGTTCAT